GAGGGAGTTAACAAATAGAGCATTCAGGTACATAAGTATAGTAGTATCCAGAGAGGTTTTAGGAGCCTCCGCGCAACAACAAGAGCCTATCACCAACCATATGCTAAGGAGTTCTTACAAGCAGTAGTGGTGGTACTCAGGCTACTTAGGATACGGATAAGAGAGCTTACAGTTCAAGATATTTTGGAATATATATTGACAAGGGAGTAGTATGTAAAAGCTTCTTGCATTGCTATAGGCCAGGTTGAGCTGTTTAACATTACTCCTTAACCTTGAGGTATAATATAGCCTTCTTCATTCTGCCACCATCTCATAGCCAGACTCAAAGGCGATAACGAGTGAAGGTAAAATGAAGAAATAAACAAACAATTAGCGACGAGTGTCTTGTGAATGGTGTATATTACAGTATCGTTTTTGAAAGTGGGCCTCCAGCTTCAAGTTAAAAAATATAACCTGAACGGTTATATCGTCGCGTACGTATGCAGAAAAAGAGGGCAGAGAGGCCAGCTGCGAAGCTACCATTGCATGATTATCTCCACCTAGCGCGTTGCGGACCAAATGGACTGCCGCGTTCTCATCTCGAGTCGTTATGGTTCTTTTTCCCTCTTCGCGTTGGCCGACACGCAATCGCTTTTGCGGTTCTCCGTCATCTCCCGTTCTGGTTGTGTAGTGATCACACCACGTTCTCATAATATCGATCGCATCCTGAGTGGAAACCATTCGCCAGAAGCTTGCTGTTGCCATGATTAAGAAAGACGGCCCACCCGAGGTGGTGACCAGGTTGGTTACGGCCGGACTCGCCCTCAGATATGGCGGCGTTAGAAAGTTGTAAGATGGCACTATCGGGGGGTTTCCGAGGAGATTTATGGCAACCTCATTCTGCAGGCTCGTTGGCCATTTTAACTGGGCATCGCCGAAAGACCGGGTAATCTTCCTACCAAATAGTAATCCATCTTGGATGATGTCAACTTCGCCGGGGTGGTTCTTCTGAATCTTCTTAACCTCCGAGTTTTTCTCGCAGGTCTGGTCATTTGATGTCCATATTTTAATACCGCGATCCCTCGATGCGAACACTGCCCGTGAATCACTAGTGCACGCAATATGTATCCTTTTGGTCTTGGGAACATATATTGATACCAATGCACATGAGCCGGAACTGCAGGGGGCCAACTGCTTTAATTTATCCTGGAGCGGTTCTTCGCCTTTAAAAACCATCGAAGTTGGTGTGATGGCACGGTCCAATTGTAAGAAAGCTTGCTTGATAACATTCCGAAACGTCGGATCGGACAATGAGTTCTTTGAGCGCTTCGTAAAGGGCGGCTTTGAGCGCTGTGCGATAGATTCTAAGCTACGATGGATAAAAGTGATGAGATACTTTTCCAGTGCATCTGCTGTTTCCCAGCCACGATAGCCGTCGAATACGCCCCACGCCATCCACTCACTGCCGTCATGGAAGGGCGAGGGGAATTTACCATGCACGAATCGATTTTCGCATGGAGATTTGGCAGCGAGCTGGGTGCCATCGTATCTAGCCAGCCCGCGCACGGTGTTGAATTGAAAGGAATATTCGTTCTCCCATAGCATTCGCGTTACGTCTTCACTCGAAAGGCCATGATCAAAGACGGGTATCTGGCCACTATGAATCGGCAGGTCGGGTGGAATATCCTGGGTCAGCGGTCGTTTGCGGGAGCTATCATCGCTGTTGCTGTTATCGTCGCCATCACCGTTGCCGTTACTGTCACTGTCACCATCACCGTTGTTGTTACTGTCACTGTCGCCATCACTGTAGTAAGACCACGACGCCGCTCTCCTTTTTTTAGGACTATTGGGAGCAGAGGACTCAGGAGGTGGCAGCGAGCCCGGCATTTTCGAAATTGGAAAAGAAGTACTAATGGAATAGAACAAGTTTCGAAATCAAATGTTTTGAAAAAACTAGAACTTCTGTTTCTTCCCTCGGTTGTAGATGTTGTTATTGCTCGCGAGGTAGAAGGTGTGGTTGGCTTTGCGGTTCCCATTAACAGAGGTATACTTGCCGCGAACGATATAAGTAGGCTTCCCTACATACCTAGCTGGGCAGTAGGTAGACAATAGAGAATCTGGTGTGATATTTGGCTGCGAGGGATTTGGTAGGAGCTCGATGTGACCTGAGTATCTATTAATGCATTGTGCCTTCTTTAACGACCTACTTAGCATAGATACTTACGTCGTATTACTTACAGCTGGAGAAGGAGGGTATTTATATCCCTTTATGTTCGTCGTCGTCGCTACCTTGGCCATGCTGTTGGGTAGGTATGAATAGGACGGGCGAACTAGCAAGGGCTGCGACCTCTTTTCGTGAGGCATAAAAAGCCGTACTAGAGTAGAAGTATTATTCTGCGGAGATTCGACATTCATTGGGCGATTATGGCTTCAAATATCCGTGATCTCATCAACATTTGAGTTTGTGGTGTGTAAGCAGTTTTGTTTTCCACACTCGCCGCTTGATCATTCTCTACCTACTTGTAACTTAGGTATATGCTGTAGGTACTTGTAACTCCAACAAACGCTAGACGAACTAGATAGGTAGTTCCCGCTATCTCCATTTATCTACTATTTCCATAGAGAAATCTATGCTAGAACTAGGATAGTGGTATCCGGTTAGCCGATGTAATTTTAGAGGTAGTGGGTATAGAGCGGTTCTAGCTCGTCTAGTTCCCGGTCCTAATCCCTGGGTTCTCAGACATGACTGGGATAGGTAGTTCAGTCCCAGTAAACACAAACGTTCGGGTCACTATGCATTTAAGTAAGTACATATGTAGGTAGTCGCCCACATGAAACAGCATGTTCTTGTTGTTGGTGACAGCTCAATTCCGTCACATTCATCGCGCTCTTACTTTCCATTCATTCCCTTGCTCTGCCCTCTCTCTACCCTCGACAGGAATATGCCTTCCCCTGCAGCTCTCACGATATATGCATTTGGCGTCACCGCACTGCTAGCGGGCATTTCATCACTAATCGACCCGTCCTCAACGGGCTCGCAGCTCAATTTCCCCCTCACTTGTACACCTGTGGCGAGAGGGAATGCCCTGGCTGCCATCGCCATGGGGCTGTACTACTGCCTAGCCGCGTATCAAGAAAACACAATGTTCTTTGCTGCTACTGTCCCTATGCGGCTACTTACGACGACGGTCTTTCTTGCACAGGGCTGGACTGTCCCGGCGGTCTGGGAAGGCGCTGGTGCGGTGGCCACGGGGGCTGCGCTATTGAGCAAAGGAGGGCTTGGTGGGAAGAGGAAGGGTCTGTGAGGCGAGGTATAGGCGTCTGCTTACATGTGCAGAAAGTTAGACGTAAGGAGCGTTGGAAGGGATATGAATGCAAAAGATCGAGCTGGTTGCTACCCACCTGAGCAGATTACGAAGTGGGAGAAGGCGAAGTGCGGGTAATATGAAGTTAAAATATCGTCGTTCTATCTGCGCTCTAAAACGTTATCAGGGCATCTTGTCATACTCGCCCTTTGTCAACTACTTTCTCTTCGCTACCCAAGACCCGAAGAATGCAGTTTGGATGTAATAGGACGTATCACTCACTCTATATACCTACCTCACTTATAGGTATGGGTACTAGTTAAAGAAATCTGATGAAACTCACAACTCATATCGGCTCGGGTGTCAATGATGCTCGCAAATGACGGTAAATGGTGTCCTATCTTATAGACTTCATAGTCGGAACTCCGAAGACGCTCCCTCTATCTTGGTTTCGTTTGCACCGTTGCCAATACTAGACGCATAATACCGATTGCCGCCGGACTTTGATACCGTGTGATGCCCTTACTCGCAGGCACTCTATCGTAGAGCAAAAGCTTTAAGTATCTTCATTACCTTGGCGATATTGCTTAGAATGCGTTGCACGCCAGGGCTGTCATCAGCGTAGCGAATTGTGTGTTTGTTTGAAGTAGACTTAAGTCCTCAAATATCGGAAGGAAATTGGAGAGACGTCTAGAGTTCTTAATGTGCTCTATTCACCTACCTTTCTCATATAGCATGAGGCTTGAAAAAGCTATAGTTTATAATTATACTCCTTCTACCCACTTTCGCCATCGCGATGACATCTAGCATATCATCTAGTATAAGCTTTCAGCTGGAAGACCCGGATACTGACTTAGTAAGGACTTTATATCTACACCATGAGTGCATCCTACATCAATCAAGGGCGGCGCTTCCCTATTCGTGACGAAATTAGTCATGAGAATCTACGTTGTGATGTGTCCTTCGCCATGCACATCATTATCAGTCAAACCCAAAACGCCACGAAGTAAGCAACGAGGTTGCCATGTACTCTTACGGGATTGTCTGCGCCACAGTCCCCTGCCCAGTGTCCCTCTATCTTCAACGAAGAATCCAACGTCACTCCTTCTTCAGCTCCCGCAGACCCTCTGCACTCCCTATAGTACCGCGCATTCTCGAGAGCGCATCGCGGATCATTCGCTTTGTTATTCTAACAATTGGTTCAATTACGGATTCTAGGGTCCGTCATAAAACTATATGTGGGTAAGTCGACTACACTTGATGAAGCTCGTCGGGAGATAGCACTTTAGTCCAAAATAGCGCGTCAAGGTCGATCGGGGGAAGCGCTAGACGGTTATTGACCCTCAATTTCTTCCAAGCAAATTTCCTATAGGTAGCCAAGTTAAGTATCATAGAAAAGAAATGAGCGTGTCTTTGTTATAGACCTAGAACCAGTTGTACCTAGGTGGCTTGACTAGATTCCCTACCCCTTATCTACCTGGCCCAAAATTTGCCCGTCAAATTTATGTTTAGCGCCGATCAACACCATCACAGTACCGGCCCGCTTGGCTCAGCGGTAGAGCGCATCACTAGTAATGATGAGGTCGTCAGTTCGACTCTGGCAGTGGGCATCGCCTTAGCCTCTTGTTTTAATTTTTTCCCCTTTTATTTCAGTTTCTTAGTTGACGTCTTTGTGTGAGCATATTGTTGAATAACCGGCGGTGGCGTAAGTAACTCGGCCTCGTGGCCCAATGGCAAGGCGTCTGACTACGATGGATAACAATCAACGATTGAATGCCACGAAATCAGGAGATTCTGGGTTCGACCCCCAGCGAGGTCAACCTTTTTCCCCGATCCAGTCACGAAAACCTGTCCACCTTTTTGGGGCGGAGTTCATTCAGTCTAACCAGGTAAGTAGATACAGGTCGCCATGGGCGCTAGAACACTGCATTTCTAAGTTATATACGCTGTACTAGCTAGGCAGGCTATGTGACTAAGTTATGCTTTTGCTCTCTGTTTTATCAGAAATGCCCCTTCCCCCACGCGAAGCAATCCCCAGATGTACAGGTGAGGTCAAACCAAGACATTACCTCTGCCTCTTGGTTCTGGATATTATGCGGCACATTCGCAGCGCTATACGCTTGAAACCAGTTATTGCGGCCATACACATACCTCGTCCAATTACTCACGGGCGTGTTCAAAGTCGTGCTGGTAGCCGTCTGGTTATAGCCCAGGACCGCGTTCCATTGCTTGGTCTCCTCCAAGAAGTTCTGGTAGTTCACCGTCTCGTCAATAGTGCCGTGCAAAATCTGCATCTTCGGCCGCCATCCGTCGTAGCCGGGATATGCGGCCTTGACAATCGCCGCCCACTCCGCCGGCGTGTGGGTGATCTTCCCCGTCGCGCAGGCGTCGCTCCAGACGCCGTATCCGTTCCCAGCATAGCAGCCGAAGGGAACGCCGGCGAATGCGGAGCCGGCGGCGAAGACGTCGGGGTAAGCGCCGATTAGGGTGCTTGTCATCATGGCGCCTGAGGAGATGCCTGTGACGAAGACGCGCTTGGGGTCGGCGTTGTACTTGTTGAGGGTCCAGTGCACCATGCTGACAATGCCTAGACTATCGCCGCCTGCGTCGTGTTTGAGAGTCGCGTTTGACGATAGATCCCAGCATTTGTCGGCTGTGTTGGGGCTGTCTGGGTAGATGACAATGAAGCCGTACTGCGACGCCAAGGTCGCGAACTGCGAGCCGGTGTAGCATACCTGCGCACTGCCGTGGCACCAGTGCGGGTTGACTAGGATTGGCGGGTGAGCCGCGAGCTTGTCGGGCACGTAGATGTAGAATCCAACGTTTCTTGGGTTTGGGCCGAAGTTTTCGGTGACCTGGGTGAGCTGGGCTGCGTTTGCCCCGCCTGCGATGCTGGTCGCGATCAGCGCCCAAGATGTCCAGCGCATATTGAATGTTCCTTGCTAACGTCGCAGCAAATTCATGAAGTCAAGCAACCCGGAGCATCATTGTTATAAGCGACCCAGGGAGATATATATACTCGCCAATAGTCAACCGCATTTCACGACTCCGCGATGTTTAGGGTCCGGTTCTGGATTGTTGAAGACGGAGACTAGCGCTCCGCCTCCATTCTGGGCTAGGGTTAGCGGTGATGTATGCCGTTCACCACCTCTCTCGGTCTAGACGCTCGCTACACTTCCGGCGAAGATACGTAACGTCGCATCACCGTGGAGTATTTAGAACCGCCAACCGGCTCCAATGCTTACCTAGGTATGTGATGCATAGTCCACCTTAGTAGCAGTTGGTCCCCATCTTTGTTCCAGGTACCCGGGTTAGTCAGACTCGGTGCCCAGAGCGCATCCCTTTGGAGGCTAGCCAATCGAAACGAAGCTGCTTTCCTATTCGGGTATCTGGACTAACTCATGTTCATGACATAGGTGGGTTACATTGATTACGGTAGCTAAAACAGTTACTTATCTTAATTAAATCTCATATATAGGAATCACTGAGAAGAATATAAAAACAGAAAGCATCATGAATTATGAGGTCTAATGAAGGTGTGTGTATAAGAAGAAGCTGTCTATCTCTAAGGGCTATAGGTCATCCTCAGCTGAGGCTAGGGTGCTGAATATAATGTTGTGTTAATGGGATGCCATCAGTTTAGTAGGAAGACAACTAGGAAAGGTGCCTCAACATACCTTCATTAGGTAGTCTGCCTAGATGTGTTCGAGGGTATGGGGTCGCCGCCGCTTGTCTTGCTTAGTCTATCAGCCGCAGTTTCCTATCTTCCCGGCCCGATCGTAGCAGCCTCCGCACAACCATCTGCCTGAGCCATCTTCCGCCTGCACGAGGTTGGCCTCTAAGGCTGCATGTCCGCCCTTACTGCAGATACAACTGCACCGAGCGGCAGCGTAATGCTTATTTTGATGTACTGGGTCATTGGGCAGCTTGAGACTACCCCCAGTGTTGCTGGACGAGGTTCGAATGTCTGATGTACGGGAAGACATGGTTAGAGGATTGTTTGTGTTTTGCTTTGTAGAAGGTGGTGTACGTTATGGGTTTCGTACTTGTGTTTCTTTGTTTGGCCTCCGCAAGCTACTTTAAGATTTGAGTGGCTTCTCGGTGGTAGGATGCCTTTATACTGTAGACAGAGCGAGATGTGGTTGCCAATCTAGAGTAAGTGAAATAATAATGAATGTACTTGGGGAAAGCTCTATTGACAGACTGGATTGCTGTTGAAGGACGAAGTAGTTACGGCACGAGATGAGGAATGGACCGATGCCATGGATGGGCTTTATCATCAATATACTAGGAAACATGTATTCAAACGATATAACTGTTTATTGTTCGAAGAAGAACAATAGGTATATAATAGCTCGACTCCATGCCTGTTTAATAACAAACGAGATTGTTTGTATTGTTTACATGTAAAAGTTCCGCATCTACCAGCTCAATAGCCACTTCCACCAACTCCAACTTTTAAACGGGTGAATAGGTTGGAAACACTCATACAGTTGACACACCTTCCATTTTCTCCTCCCCAACTCTTTTACATTTGGAGTCATTTGCATACAATCCACTCGTTTGACATATGCTTGATACAGCACCACACTTTCAATTTAATTCACGGGGTAAGGCTGTAGATAAATCACTGCTAATATAGAAATAATAATTTAGAGCACAGTCATGCACGTACTATTGACCAAAGAAAAGATATCTAGATATAATAGGCGTATGCAGGCAGGTACTACCAAGGTTCCCTGGGTCTTATTTTGGTCTGGTATATGCACTGAGTAAATTCTGCGCATCTTACAAGTCTAGTACTTTACTTACTGCTTGCTACAACAAAGGTAACATAAGTTTACGTACACATGTATGTACCTACCTAGGTACTTGAGTACTCAGTCTGCTATCAATCTACTCCAGACAGTAAAAGGGAAGGTAGGCACACTAACATGGGCAGACACGGGTAAGCACTAGGTAGGTGGGCCAAGTGCTCTGTCGAGTCTGTTTAGCAACAAGGCAGTTTTCTGTGAGGAGATACTAGACACATTGTTTGGGGGCCAAGATACCTTGTACACAACCTGCCTGTGCGCATAACGTTAGGATTAAATACCTATACTCGTCTGGACTAGTGGCGTCTCATACTAAAGCAGTAGCAGGGCTGGACCCTTTAGTCTGGGTCTTTAACTAGCGAATCGGCAGGCAAATCACTTCTGTGATCTGCTACTTACAAATAGGTAGGGTTGCTACCAAATTCTAAGTAGCTTTGCATAACTGCAATTTCCACTTAAAACACTAGCGTGGTGGGCGACAACTACCTAAATAGGTAGGCGGTGTAATCTGGCAGTATAGGCAAATAGGTAAGTAGGTACTATAGGTAGGTGCTATAGGTAAGTAGGTGCTATAGGGGTAGGTAGGTAGGTGTTATAGGGGTAAATAGGTGCTGTAAAAATACTAGGGGGTGCTGGGAGGTTTATTTCAGTCCTTAAATATAATAGGTTATATTAAATAACTGATTACTTGGCATGAAGTAAAAGGCTATAATCTATTCTCAGGAAGTACAAAGACTTTGGTGTAAATTATATGGGATCCTTTGTACTTTCTGAGAAGTGATTTGCCCGCCGATTCGCTAGTTAAAGACCCAGACTAAAGGGTCCAGCCCTGCTACTGCTTTAGTATGAGACGCCACTAGTCCAGACGAGTATACCTACCTACTTAACTGACTGTTGGTGATGAATGCAACTTGATCACACCTTAAAATGGCGCCACCTGCCATCCATTGCGTCTGCGGTAGGGGCTCCTCTTTTGTCTAGAGAAAGCACCAGTATACCTGTAGGTACCTACCTTATCTAGATACCCTGTACTAAGTAAGTACCTACTGGGGGAACCTTTTTTTGGGACGCGCTGGATTTAGTTTTTGGCACTCTATTTGCATGGACCTATTGCACTACAATGTTCTTAGAACTGTACAACTAGGGTTGTATTGCTAGGTTGGGACTGCTATAATACTGCTACTTGCAACTATGTTTTATTAAACGGAATGTTTGAATGTTCTTTCCTTGCATTGCTTACAAGACACCAGCGTTCTGCCTGAAAAGGTTGGAACTGAAGTGGCTTTGCTGGTAGGATATTGGAATAACCCTTTAGTACATTCAAAACCCGGTCTCTCCGTATAGGTACTTATGAGGTACCTAGGCAGAGTCCATAGCCATGGGATTTGAATCTGCGGAACCAGTGGCCAATGAAATAAGCGTGGTAGTGGGCAGTTCTGGGGCGGCAAACGCCATTGGCGTTTGACCAATCCCAGTAGCTGAACTATTCAAGCCGTTCAGCTAACTCAATTAAGCTAGGTGCATGTTTTAGAGACACCTAAGTTACATGTAGGTAGGTTCCATACCCTAGTCCCTGTCCCAGGTCTATCCTAGGTAGCCTTAAACACCTACCCACCAGGTATCTACCCTCTCTAGGTATCTCAGCACCCCATCTTGTAATATTCCATTTTCTTAGAACCAAAACTTCAGTATCATCTGCCCTTTCCACATACTGATACTAACCTCCCTCCTTCTCTCTATCTATCACTCCCTCTCTCTATCTCTGTCTCTAGCCAACTTCCTCAATGCTCGTCATGGCTACGGTCTCTCTCGACCCGGAGGCTATTGAGCAGCTCAGTGGCGAACACAAGGATCTGCTTGATACAATAGATGATTTACGAAAACACGGCGTCGAGAAGTTTGTAGATCTTCCCCAGATCATAGTGGTTGGCGACCAATCTTCGGGGAAATCCTCCGTGCTAGAGGCTATCTCGCGTGTCCGCTTTCCTGTCAAAGATGGAGTGTG